GGTTTTGGGTCAGGCAATGGACCTGAATTGCTTGACATGGATCGTGAGCTTGGGCTTGGTCGAGCAACGCCGGTTGCGCGTTGATTTGGTGGTTGTTACACCACTTGTTAGCTCATTACCTACCGAACGATAGTGGCAATGGCTGGGGGCGACAGGCGAGATATTCGTCATCCTTGGAGTTCATGGGACGTGACGAGAGGACTTGCTAGAGTGGCCGCCCATGCAGTTGGAGATGTTGGTCACGTGGAGGTTGCTAGGAAGGAGGGTACGGAGAGCCCTTCTTTGGAGGATGTGGCATAGCAACCAGTGACAGTATCACCTCCCTCTTGTGTGTACATGGAGGAGTAGTGGGAGCCATCGATTGCTTCTTAGATCACCGGAGGAGAGAGGCGACAGTTGACACAATTCCATAGTGACTATAGGAGTTGTTTTGCCTTCAGTATGAAGGAGTTGGGTACTTTGATTGGATCCGGCATACGGATAGAGTTGGCTAGTGATACGCCAATCTTCCGTCGTCCCTATCGATATAGTGATATGGAAAGGGACTTGATTCGGAGTCAAACGTTGGAGTTATTGGCGGCTGGGTTAGTGGAATTGTCACATGGTGAGTATGCTTCAGCCACTATTATGCCGGCAAAGAATGATGCACATGGCAACTACACGGATAGGCGCATGTGTGGAGACTACCGTACTATCAATCGGCAGACGAAGGCCGATAAGTATGCCATGCCTACATCTAAGGAGATCTTCGATGTGGTGGAACATGCGAGGATGTTTAGTACTTTGGATCTTTGGGCAGGATACCATCAGTTGCCGATTCAGGAGGAGGACAAGGCCAAGACAGCGTTTTGGGGTGTCAACTTTCACGGCAAGTATTGTTTGTATCAGTGGCGATTCTTATCCTTTGGGTTGAAGAATGCACTTGCCGAGTTCCACAGAATGATGGACAAGATTCTAGCGGGGCTAGAGTTCGTTTGATGTTACATTGATGATATCTTGGTGTTTAGTGACACGGTGGAGCAACACCCGATACATTTGCAGATTGTGCTTGAGCTGTTGAGGTCTCATGGTTTGCGGTTAGATCATGGGAAGTGTAGGTTTTTCCAGGAGAAGGTGGAGTACTTGGGTCATGTGATCTATCCATGTGGTTTGGGAGTTCAGCAAGCAAAGGTGGATGCTATTGCGCGCATTCCTTGTCCAGCGGATGTGAGTAGAGTTCGTGCATTCATGGATTTGCCGAACTATTACCGGAGGTATGTAAAGGGATTCAGCGCTATAGCGAAGCCTTTGAACCAGTTGCTGAAGTCGGATCAGAAGTGGCAATGGGAAGATGAGCAGGAGAGAGCTTTTGTTGAGCTTAAGGCCAGGTTGGTGGCCGCTCCCATCTTGAGAAGACCTATCACAGGTCGTCCATACTAGTTGCACACTGATTGGAGTATGTTGGGACTTGGAGCGGTTTTGACGCAGTGTGATGATGAGGGCAAGGAGTTCGTGGTTGTGTACGCTAGTCGTTCGAACAATGCAGCAGAGTCACGGTATAGTTCGTACGAGGAAGAGTGTTTGGCAGCGGTGTGGGCTATGGCACACTTCAGGTGTTACTTGTTTGGTACGCAATTTACCCTTGTTACCGATCATCAGCCGCTCAAGTCATTGATGGAGTCCGACAAGCTCACAGGGAAGCAGGCACGGTGGGCTCTTATCTTACAGGAGTACGACTTTAAGGTGGTGCATAGGCCTGGAGTTGCGAACCTGGATGCCGAACTTTTGAGTCGGAACCCATGCACTAGCTAGGAGGATGACACTGGAGCTAGATGGCATGGTGAGGTTGATGAGGAGATGGTGTCTGGTTTGCATGCATCTGCCTTCATGTGTTGGTTACGTGGAGCCTCTAGCAGTGAGGACCACTTGACATCTTACTCTAGTCAGAGAGTAGATAGTCAGTTAGAGAGCAAATAGTCAGTCTTCGGATCCTGAGGTTGACGATGGTGGTGTGATCAACGTGATGTTCACGATGATGCCTTGGTGTTGGAGTTCCTACGGACTAGTATGGTGTCAGGCACAATGGGTGCCAAGGAGCGAGATCGTGTTCTCCAGAGGGCGAAGAGATACCGATTGGAGAGATCACATGTTCTCTGAGTGTGGGAGGACGGTAGGGTACGAGTAGTACCCCATCCATCTCAGAGAGCACGCATTGTGAGGCATGCTCATGAGGAGTTGGGACATTTTGGAGTGAAGCGTACGTACAACTTACTCCTTGGTCAGTATTGGTGGCGTGGTATGCATACGCAGGTACAGCAGTTGGTATCACGTTGCATGGTTTGTGATCGAGTGAGGGCATCGTTCAATGCCGCGACAAAAAGAGTTACATCCCTTACCTATCATGCGATTGGATTACCGTTGGAGTTTAGACTTTGATGGACCACTACCTTTAACTGCACGACATCATCGATATGTGTTGATGATGGTGGATCATTTCTCCAAGTGGATTGAGTTGGTGGCACTACCTAACAAGGCGAGTGAGGGAGTAGCGTATGCTTTACTTGACAGGGTGCTTAGTCACTTTGGTGCACCAGCTGAGGTGTTGACCGATCAGGGGACAGAGTTTCAGGTGGAGTTTCAAGTCTTGTGTGACAAGATACTGATTGATCACCGGACCGCATCTCGAGATCATCCAGAGGCGGATGGTTTGGCCAAGCGTGTTGTCCAGACGGTGAAGAGAGCGTTGCGCAAGTATGACCTACAGAAGGGTCATCTTGAAGATTGAGATATTCAGGTTCCATGGCTGGCCATGGGATATTGATTCAGTCGTCAAGCATCCTTGGCTTCGTTCTCACCATATTTTCTATTGTACGGCCGAGATCCAGACTTGCTAGCAGCGATTCGTCGTGAGTCTAGTGAGGTGATGAACCTTGATGACTCAGACATGTGTGTGAGAGTGTGTTCTGAACGTGCAGCACTCTTTCGGAGAGTTATGCCTACAGCGTTTGAGAACCTTGCGATTGCTCAGCACAGGGATACGTTGCGGTATGCAACCATCCGAGGAGAAGGTTATAGATCATCAATTCGTAGGTTCCGTGTGAGAGACTACGTCTATTTACAGCAGACTGCACCAACTATGTTGGATGTGACGGCAAGACGCACTATCTTGCGAGTGCGAGAGGTGTTACCTTCTGGAGTTCTCATGTTGGAGGGTCGTGACGGTGTCGTTTGGAAGGATCATGTGCGCAACTGTGCGCCATGCCACCTACCAAACGTGGATGGTGTTATGGATCCAAGCTTGGAGATTGTACGTGCATGAGGTGCATGTTATGTGGATAAGCTGATCAGGCAACCCATTTGTTGGTGTGTGATAGGTGTTCTAGTGGATGGCACATGTCGTGCTTAACTCCACCTATCGATGTTGTTCCTACTAGACGATGGATTTGTCCTTGATGTACTTCAGAGGGTAGATGACTTGATCTTCACATTTTATGAATTGCAGATAGGCGACTAACGATGGGGCAACATAACACCCGACCTACTGATTTGAGCACCCACGAAGGTGCATAGCATGTAGTTGTAAACATGGCTACCTGGGAGCCAAAGGGACATGAACGTCATCTAGAGGGGCGAGTTGTGATACCTTTGTGTGTGTACACTCTCGTTCCTTATGTATGTATGTGTGAGTTGTGAGTAGAGCATGTCAGCGATGTATGATGTATGGCGATACCGAGTCGCACGACAAAGAAAATGATGCTATATTTATTAACAGCTGATGAGTGATCTTTGAAACTTTGAAACACAAAGTGAACTTGAGTTGAAGTTGATTAAATTTTTTCAACTATGATCATGAATATTTTTTGCTACTGACTTTTTTGACCTAAAAAGAATTACTTCAAAATCTTGTGATAAATTTCTATTGAAGCTTGTGAATTTTTTCTGAGTCATCTCATGATCATTGTTTTTTCGGGGAGAATTTTTTATATTAGCAATTTAATAATGATTAGATTTTTTTGTGAATAATGAAATTCAAACCTGTCTTCAATATAATTTATTTTTTGTTTCAAATTTGTCAAGTTGTTGAATTTTCACCATAAAGAGTTCATGACTACCAATACAAGATTTACTGTAGACTCTGGACCAAACTTCACAAATAAATGAATCGATGTTTATAGTGATCTTAAAATATTTTGATAATTTGTATTGCTTGAAACTTCGTATGATATATCATAGTACAATATGTATTTCTTGTGTAATAAAAAACCCGTCATAAATTTCAAAAAATTGCTCCAACTTCATGAGAATATTTGTTGATCTTCAAAGTTTACTTCAAAAAACTTTTATCAAGAAAAAAATATTTGATAACAATGACTTATAGCGACTGTGACAAAGCTGTATCAGTCAATGCTATCTTGCAAGTTTAGCTGCTTATACCAATTTGTAATCGCTATTTTGCAATCAAATTCAATGGAAATGAGTCAAAATTTAATGACAGATTTCAAGCTGCGAGTGTATTAGCAACTAGAGATGACTTGAACACTTTTGTTGCATTATCCTGGTTTCAATTACCCTCTTCTTGGTCATTCATATTACTTGATGATTCGTTCGTATCACATAGTTATCAACCTTGTACTTTAAGTTACATACAGAGATTTAGATCTTGCATAAAAAAGAAGCGGATTTGAGCTTGGTAATATCTTGGAAGATGTTACGACACGATTGATGGAGGTTATTATAGGTTTACCAAAGGTACTGAAGTGATTATTAAAAGTGATTACCAATTGATCGGAAAATTTCATAAAAGTTTTTCTCATGATGTAGTTCTTCAAAGTACTAGGAAAGTTGAATGATATAGGATAAGGATTCTACATTCTTCAGTCCACCTGTGGCTTTGAAATTGTTTATTACAGAATTTGAAATGTTTGAAGATGGTTGATTAAAGTGAGTTAAAGTGTGAATCGGTTGAATACATTCTGTTTTTCCTCTGTAATTATTTCTCCCAGTCAACAAACTATAGGTCTACAATTGGTAAGAGCGACTACTCTTCAGTTAGCTTTCACGATATATTTGGACTAACTAGTTGGGAAAAGTTCCAAAGTCCCATCGTTTGCAACATTCACCGAAGGTGGAGACTGAAAATATAGGGAACACTTGATGTTACCTGCGCTATCTCTAGCTGATGCCAGTACGATCAGAAGTGATGGTGCTTCAGGAGGATGAGCTCTACTCTGAGTGCAACAAAGAGCAATGTCGCAATGTCCCACAGTCCATCAGCAACTAGCACACATTAGCCCTCACGATGACCTTGAACTTTAAGTGATATTTATCTGATATTATACAAGGCCTCGACAAATTATCACCTATTGCAGTAGTCATACCAAGCATACCACGAATAAACCTCCAGCAGCCTCCGCACCAGAGGCTTTCATCTTTCATCCCCCATGATATGCTTCTGATCCGGTGTGACATCAACCTGCTCTCCATCGTCGAGACTTCACAGCACTCGGGTTTCGCATCTGTCAAGATACATTCGCCATGAGGCGACTATAATGACTCGTCAATCGACTGTTCTCCACGCACTTGTTATGTACGATGTGTGGGCGGGCTCAAGCGGTGTTGTCTTCGGACACAATCATCTGTCACTTCCGTGTCCAGTCTTGCAAAGGTTTCAATCGAGCCCCTCGTGCACTTGCTGGTCTAAGGTCAAGTCATTCCTGCTTTTACAGTCATAACACTTTCCATCTCTCCTTTAAGAATGATATTGAAGTCTATGGCCTCCACGCCTCTAGTGTCTATCCAAAGATGCCCAGCAGTGCAGCGCTGATGTGCCCTCACATGATGTGTTTTGCTGTTGTAGATACAGCGATTGTCTCAGACATGGAAGAGTCATGTGCATCTAGAGGCTGGGAGGTTCGATATGAATAAAATCAGAATTACGAGGACCCGCTCGATCCCAAAGTTACAATTTCAGGAGGAAGTAATCAAATTAGCCTCTAGCAACAACCGATATTCGCAGATTCTCGTACAGGCGACAGCTGGGTCCCTGCATTTGATTCAGCTCAGTCCAACTTTCATGTTAACAGCAGCTCAAGCATCCACGGGCTTCAAAAATTAATGGGCCCAACACCTTCATAGTACTCACCGATTTTGTGAAGTCACATCCATACTTCCATATGGACTCGCGGCGCCAAGAGAGACATGGGCGTCGTGTATCCGCCTCCGGCCACGGATTTCTGATTGTAGCTCAACGCGCAAAGCAGGCAAGTGTTAATTCTGCGTGTAAAACATGGGACCGAGCTATAGAACAAGAGCAGTTCCAGACAACCTCAAGGTGTTTGCCTCGAGTGAATCGTGGTTGTCAGATTTATACAAGACTTATCATATATCCCACTGAAATACAAACACGTGTCGATCTAATTCACTTTGAGATTTGCCTCTCTTTCAAAAAATATATACACGAGATTTTTTAGATTGATCGATATAATTTGTGAAAAGAAGGACCTCAAAACTGAGCTGCGTAGGGTGTAGTATGCAGAGAGGAGAGAGGAATGTGTGTACAGTCATTTATTGTGGACTTGGAACGCCGTCGGATAGGCATGAGGTGGCTTGGCTTCCCTCGTCACTAAGGGCTCCTCAAAAATGAGGGAACGCGACCTCTGCCCGCCCGGGCTTTCTGCCCGCAGCCCGACCCCCCCCTCCTCATCCGGGCCCGCATCCCGACCCCCTCCCCCCGCAGCCCGACCTCCCGGTTACTAGTTATTAGTTGTGGAGACCCTCCCGCTTTAGCTCGCCCATCGGACTCTTTCCCTCGCGGCCTCCCTTCCCAGCAGGGAACTTGTACTTCGTAGTTTTTTCCTCCCCCATGCCCCATTTCTCCTCCCCTCGGAAAGGGGAGGAGAAATGGAGTAGCATGTTTGGGGCTTCCATTCTTCTTCCCCCAAAAAACAACTAGGTCTTTTTCTTTCTAAAGCTTTAGTTTCTAAGGAAATTATTTCTCTTTAATTTTTATATTTAACTAAATCTATTCATCTATCAACATGATGGAGAATCACAAGAGAAGGCATAATGAAAGATTTCATAAAAGCAAAATTATAAAGTGATAACAAGATCAATGAAAAAACTCAAATTATAAAATTTATTTCACAAAAATCTCAGGGTCACAATTTTTGCAAAATATAGAATTTGCTCCTTTGCAAAAAACGAATCTGATAAGCTGATAATCCGAATCGTGCTCTTTTCCCCACATGAAGTTAGGTAACGTCTTAAATATCGACGATTATATCCACTCTGGAGAGGACTCGCCCGTAATAATTAAGTTGGCAGCTACCTCAGGCGGGAAAAACACACTCAATACTCTCATTCTCTGAACTTACATGGCCAGACGAAGGACATAATTCTCAACACCATTGTTGGGCTCGATTGTTATTGCCAGCGTTTTTGATTAATCAGAAGTTTGATTTTTCCGATTTACTGCTTGAACGCAGCGCCTGCCTGCGTTCTAATTTTTCCAACAAAATTTCCGAAATGGAAGACATGACATGCCTCGCAGTACATTCGTCGTTAGCAGTTCTCTTCAGACGTGGGACAGAATCAGAAGGGGCTAAACTATTTAATAAAATTTAATGTAATTTAGCGTGAAGGACTCGGTGACTGGCATTGGCAGAACAGTGGACGCAGACATTTTGCGAAGGGACGGGAAAGGGAAAGTGGAGTGATCGGGAGGCGGCCATCCCTAGTCGGGCTGCGGGGGGAAGGGGGGATGGGGTCGGAGGGGGGAGGTCGGGCTGCGGGCAGAAAGCCCGGGCGGGCAGAGCTCGCGTTCCCTCACTTTTTAGGAGCCCTTAGTGACGAGGCTTGGCTTCTCGCTCGTGGTCGGTGCCTGTGGTCTGTTCCGAGCTGAGAGCTTGTTGTTCTCGTGGACGGTCGAGTTTGGCTTCTAGCCCCGGCGGAATTGAATGCCCGGAAGGCAAGAAGACAAACTTGAGCCGGTAGCTGAGAACCAGAGTTCCGTTGGACATGAATTTGAAGGACAAGAGCCAGCTGCAAGGACAGCTTATCTGCTGATGTCAGAGGGAGGGGGGTAGGATCGGAGTGACGACGATCTGATTGTGTTCGCTCCTCTTCTTCGCCCCGTACTTGTGGAAAGGGCCCAGTAGCCCCAATGTTCGACGTGGGCCTTCGGTGCCTGGTACCATCGTTCAAGATCAAAGAACGAACGATCGCCCTGTGAGAGAGAGAAAGACACGGAGAGAGAGAGGGAGACTCTGATGAGCCAATGGTATGTGAGTCAAGAAGCCATGCATGCAGTCCGAGCACTGGGACGCCCCCGGATCAGAAGATCAAGCACGGCCTGCGGTGAAGGCAGCCGGCTGCGAAGAATAAGTAAGGACCGAGAGCGGAGCAGATGAAAACGAATGGCGTGCGTCAGAGAAGCCATAGGAATACGGGAAGGAAAAGGAGGAGAAAAGAAGAGGAATGTCACTCGCGGATATCAGATCTCTAGAACTGATTTGAAGCCTTAATATTATGGCTGGAGATCATAACAGAGAGACTATATTATGGCTACGAGACTTGTGGATCAGTGACAGAGCTAAATTGTACGTTATTAGCAGCTGGGTGAACCACAACACTGCGAGCTGTCATGAAGCATTAGTCCTTTGCACGAAGGAGCTTCACCGAATAGTAGTCGTCTAATGTATTATCTAATTCACAAGATTGACACGTCGAGAAGCTTCCTTACTAGATTGGTTCATCCAGAGTCCTGTCGGATATGAGTTTTGGTCACAGGTCTAAATAATATATATATATATATATATATATATACATATTAAAGAATATGTAAACTTGTTCCTATTTAAAAGTTATCTTATATTGATTTGATTCTATTCTAAACTAATTTTTTATATAACTTCTTTGACGTCATGAAAGGTTCAGATGTTTGAAGCAGATTACTTCCGAAAGTTCTTTCTGGTATGTAGATATGATTTACCTAATAATAAAATTCAATGTAATATTTTAGGGTCCAAATTTCTTAAATTTTCTAGTAAGAGAGTCGAAATATTTAGATATCCACAACTCACACACGCACGACACCGTGCAAGAAAAAATCTTATTGGGATCGGACGTACTTCAACTGGGTTCCGTTCGGGATTTCATGTTATTTGTTCGGAAACTGGAAAATGTTCAGGCTTACGTAGACATCACATGCTGTGCAGATACTGGGTCAACAGAGAGGTAGATGAAGAGGAAAGTTATCACTATACCCGTCTATTGCTTGAGCGTGTTCTCTGGAGTTTAGTATCATTATCGAACCGAATACATACCCGATCCATGGGCTTTAGTAGCTCAGAGCTTACTTCCAAGGAGGTCACTATCATCAAGTAACTGGCAAGTATTCAAATTCCACACCAGGCTCCCATTCGATTATTATTTGGTGCCATCATCTGCGTTAGACATTTGATGCACCATTGATGCACGTGTTGGCTGGACTTCAGCCAACACGTGCATCAATGGTGCAGAACTATCTAAGTAAACACTAAAATGTAAGCCTTTTGTAAACTGCTGGTGGCTGGTTCGAGAGAGGCGCAGCCGCTTCTTTGATCTCATGCTTTATCACGTTGTATAAAATATCCTCTTCTGCAGTTGGAGAACGGGTGCCTCCCTCTTCAGAGAAGTAATCGGTGATCAGAGTCAACTCTGCTGCTCATAATCAACCCGATAACATGAAGTCCTATTATGGAAACAGAAATGCGTAATATATGAGCTTCATATAACAAGCAAAATATCGAAACGTGAACACAAAACGCTTTGCCTTCCGTCAACAACCGACTCCAAACCTCGCATCCTACAGCTTCACTGGATAATAGCTCGTACTCTCAGAACCCCCGGTACGGTCAGTGCTTAATATGCGCCAGATTCCATCGAAAGAACAGGTCCTCGATCACCATTTCAATCTTTCACGAATCTTTGAATGATCTCTGAGCTCTGCAGATTCTTTCAGACAAGTGATTGACTTCTCTAACTATCCTGGCCTACGCAGAATGCCAGGATAGTTGGATCACGTTTTCTGGGCTTATGCAATCTGATCTTCAGAATAGTCCCAACATATTTAATGACATCGCTGTCATTTTAAAGAAACTACAGTGTTATTGGAATCTTATCAACGCTCCAGCAAAGCTGTCACTCAAAGATGACACATACAACCATCTCAAGCCATCTTAAGCTCATTTGGACGCACAGTTGCTTGGCAGTGGCCAAATCTTTTCTGAAGGTCTCGGGCTGGGTGTCCGGAACTCCACACTCCCAGATCAGGCTGGAAATACGTGGAGGCAAGTACGATCTACATACAGGCACTGCAGAGCAAGTGGATGGAATGACTACAAGTACTGATTTATCCATTGCTGAATTGTGCTCCAGAACATGTAAGGCCCTATGAATCATCCAACAAATTTGCTAAGGAAGGAAAAAATGTAATGCTGGAGTCTTCTGAAGCATAATACTTTGACATTACAAAATAAATTTATTCAATTTATAACTTTGTAAAAAGGTATTTCTTTCTCCTGCTCGATATATAAACAGAGAGATTGCTTCTGGTTACTCGGCATTTGTCCACATTTAAATTGGAGGAGGAATTTGACGGTTGTGATCATATGGCCCCAATTATTTCTGCGCTGTCCACTTCAGCGGTTAGTAACATCCCATCTCTGCATCTGCTTTGGTAATTGGAACTAAGCCCTTCATGATATTCTTCTCAATGGATTCAGGATAGCAAACGTTCAAACTCAGTTTCACTATTCGAATGTACAAACTTATTCCTCATGCTACCATAGGATTTTCCAAGTTCAGATGAAGTTTATGTACATTTTGAGGACTTTAATGCCAGAATATAAAAGATTGGAAGCAATATGTCTACAAAATCCTGTGTATCCCGATCTAAGACTTTGGAAGAGGGGACACTCCGATAAATTCAATTCTAGACCTCTTGCACTCTCAGCAAAATTCATATATCTGGACCAAATGCAATCAAATGTTTTTGTCTGTATTAACTTACGATACTTTCGTGATCACATGGGTTTGGGATATTGGCTTGACCGAAATCTGAACTCTTTGGGATGATTTGATTTTGTTCTGCCAAGTGTGTTCAACTGGGTGTACTTGCTTATCAGGTTCTTTCAAGGTTCACGGAGACAAAAGTGATACAATGGTGTTGTATCGTGATCTCCAAATATATAATCTAAGGCTTCAAAATTTACACATACACAATGGAACTGATGCAGTAATCACTAGTGTAGAAGGCCTTTTTCTAGTGTATTGAAAAGCATAAAGCCATACATTGTTTTC